TATTTTAAAAAATAAATAAATATAATATTGATAATAAATTTATTTCAAAATATAAATAATTTATTATTATTATTATATTTACTGTTGTTATTTTTGCTTTATTATATATATATATAATCACCCCTTTTATTTAAATATAATAAATAAAAGATATATTTATTATTATTATTATTATTATTATTATTATTATTAATTATTTCACTAACTTCTCCACACGTCTCTCATTTTAAAGGTTTTATTATTATTATTATTATTATTATTATTATTATTATTATTATTATTTTATGGAATCCACATCTCCATTGTCAAACAACATTCATTTTTTTTCTTTAAATTTTCACACACTTCTCTTCTCTTTTTTTCTTTTTTCCTCTACTTTCTTTTTCTCTAACACACCCTTAACAATAAATATGAATAACTTGTGACCCAAAAAGTATATCTAAGAAGAGAATTAACTTCTATATAAAGGTTTAAGATCTGTTATCTTATAGGAACATCATAGGAGATAATTTATTTTTGGTGTCAATACTTTGACATATTATCGATATCTAAAATATATTATCTTAATTAGTATCAACACTTTAACATAATCATATATAGTTAATATACATATAAAAAAAATGTTATCGATAACAACAAATTCTAACAAATTATTTTAAAACACTAATATTAGTTAAAATTTATTAAAAATTATAAATTTTAGTGTGTATTATTTCACAATATTTAATAAGTATTTTTTATTTCTAATTTTATATATTAAAATAACTAATAGAGTATGTGTAACATTTATAAAATCTAGGATATCGGTATATTCCATGCATCTACACATACTTTTCTCAATTTTTACAAACATAATTTTTGTTATAGAATACGAAATTTAACAATTCAATTGTTGAAACTTTTCAATTTATCTTTGAAACGTATATAAAAATTTACATAAATCGTATATTCATTAATATTCAAATGAAATGAAATACAATTAACATAACAAGAGATCTAAATTGATAATTAATATTTATGTATTATTGTATATGATATTTTTTCTTATGACTTACAAAACAATATTAGAAGTCATTATTTTAGTTATATCTTTTAAGAAAATATATATTCACCTTTTAAAACAACTTTATAAGCAATGATACCGAGACTTACAAAACAAGGTTAAAGACATTGTTTTTTAATATGTTATTCTATATTTTAAGCTAACTTTTTTAAAAGTAAAAAAATAACAATTCTAATCAAATTCATGTGTATTTGAACATATGAATATGTCATCTGTCGTATTTAAGTTGTGCGGAGTTGTTGGCTTAATTTTTTCTAAAATGTTTTTAGGGGTTGTGAGTGTCACAAATGAAATAAGTTTCACACTATTACCGTTGAAACAAGATATTTATGATTTATACGTCATATCTACGTTGAAAAGTTAAACCTATTTTGATGTATGTATACATAATTTGAGAGAAGATACATGTAACCCTAACTTGATGAGACCAAGGATCATATAACTCAAAATAGAAGAGATGATTTTTATAAAAGAACATTGTTAGATCTAAAATGATGTGGTTGATATTTTTAACGATAATAAACAATGCTAAAGTTTAATAATCTTTTTCAACCACATGTTTTAACAATTTGTCTTATGTAGGAAATTTTTTTCACTAGACAAATTAAGTTTTGTCGGACAACCCACATCAAGATTGTCTAAATAAGAATATTACTTGCCCAAAAAAAATTATTGACTTATGCCAGAAAATTGAATATTCATCTTAATAAAAAGAAACAAAAAAAATCAAGTTACTTAGTCTCGTATTTTAAAAGGAACAAATAACACACAAATAAAATTACAAAGCACATTTAGAAAAGTCAACATATCAAAATCAAAAAGAATTTTTTTTACCATGTTATAAAAGTGCAAAAGATAAAAATATTTTATCAAAATATACAAGTGAAAACTGAAATAATAACATTTAATGATTCTCACGTTCATAGTCAAAAATAGAAGAAAGCTCTCAATAACTATTATTGAGAAATAACATTTTATATAACTTTATACCAGAAATGTTAACAATTGTAATATACTTATTGAATACACTCACTCTATTTAATCAAAATTTATTAAAAACTATAAAATTTAACAAGTCCCACACTATTTAAGGAACTTCATTTATAATTATGTAGTTTTTAATGAATTTTAACTGATATAAGAATGTGTTTTAGAAAAGTGTATCCATGCTACTCCAAATTTTATAAATACTTGGCAAGCACATAACTATCATTTTGTTTCCGGCGAGCTTATATTAAGACAATCTAGAGTTACTTTGTACAAACCTTTAGAGGTTTGTTATTGCCGGGAAAGATAAAGAAAATTTTGAGTTGTGCCTAGAGACAGAAACAAGTATTAACAAAACTTTGGATTGAGTTTGAAAAAACTTAAAGAAGCTTAGATAAAATAATACTTTCTAGTGTAATTATTGGTTTTTGTCAAGAATTAGACTGTAGTTTCTAATTCTGCATGTTGCTTGGAGATTCATGGTAGTGGACCACAGTATCCACATCTAGTAACAGCGACTACGATGCACCACATCTGAAGACAAACCATCTCTGTTTTTTCCCCTGTTCCAGTGACAAACCATCTAACAATTATGCCCTCTGCCTTACATTCAGACCATGTTGGGTAAAAAATGAGTCACAAAAATGTTGAAGCTAGCAAGCCATGTTGCCCTGTTATTAGCATTAGTATTCATCACAAACAATTGTGTCATATTCGGTGTATCATGCAATAGTTCCTGACCCACACATTTCCTACATCTTCACTTTGACCCTACAAAATTGTTATCCCAATTTAACTCAATTGTATTTTTATGTCATCATTTGCATATGATATTATTTTAGATAGTGAATTTGAACAATTTAATCTTATAAAATGAACTTGTAAAATGAAAATTACTCTTCACTTACATATATTAATATAATCTTATTTTTAGTTGATATAAGATCTTCAACATTCAAGTTTTTGTTTAAATAAACATTTTCATGCTCTCACACAATTTTAATAAGATGTTTGTCTTCTTAAGAAAAAATCAAAGGGATTTTGCCATTATTTTTTTTTCGAAGATTTTTCATCATTATGAAATTTCAAATAAAAATTTTATAATTTAATTATGTCATGTTTAAAATAAGCAGAACGTTTCACGATTGACTTGATCCAAGGTAATTAATTGACGCACTTGTTTTCCTTAGCAACTACTCCGAAACCAAAACAGAACATGTGCCACTGACATTGTCTTGCCACTGTTGGTTTCTTCATTGAATAATGAATGCCAAAAACATGGTCACATGCTGAATATACAATGCATATATATATATGATATCATCACCAAGTGCTTGTGATTTCGACCGCAACATCAAAGTTTTTTTATGTCTTTGCAATCTAACAGGATTACGATTGTGATATGTAATTTTCTATAAAATGAAAGATGATGATGACGAAACTACAATTATGACTGAGACCCTAATTTAAATCTTTGTTCTCCTTTAATACAATTCGGTTAATTTCCTTGCATTCTAAAGAATATGTAGCAAAACGTAGAAGAAATGTACGCTGATAATCTCAAAGACTTACACGAATTGCATCCTAATCAAGCGGAGTCTATCTGTTTTTTAAAGAACAAAAATTGCTTTACAAAAGGTCAAACATTATTCAGTGTGATGCTTCCCATTTTCATGACTTGCCTAATTGTCATCTTACTTTCATCAGAACAAATGTTTGCTAAGGTCATTGTTCTTTTTTACAATATCATCATTCCTAATATATAGTAATGGAAGACAATAATCAATTCAGCCATTATGAAAAACTGGTGCTTAGTGTACCTAATTAATTACATTTGCATCTTAAAAGTGAGAGTATTTAATTTTAGAAAATAAACTAAATAATTATAGTCATTGTCTCATTGATTAAAGAAATTAGCAGTTAAATTTTGTAATTAAATATATGTTAATTTGTGTATATATATTGTAATAGATATGACAACAATTTCTTAAAGTACAATAATGGACCATGATTATTAAAGATATTCTATTAGTGAGAGAGAATTTATTATAAGAGATGAGAGAGTTAAAATATAATCCTTAGATTAATCAAGAGAAAATTTGGGATTTAATCAAATGAGAAAAAATTAATCTAAGGGTTATATTTTAACCCTCTCATCTCTCATAATAAATTTCTTCTTACTCGATATGTTCCTATATATATATATATATATATAT